CCCCCCCAGCTCCAGATCATTGCAGGTTTACCAGTGCAGTGACTTGACTTCACTTCACACTGCCACGAACAGCCATCAGGCTCTGCCACAAGCTCCGCGGCCGCCCCTGAGAAAAAAAACCCTTCCTGCACATGGGCAGGAAGGTACCAAAACATCAAATTGGACGGGGTGTTGGGATGTACCAACTGTTCCGTACGACCGCGGCGGACCCTGCAAGGACACCTTGCCACCATGTAGCGATGCCACTGCACCCATGTGATAGCATGCTGGAGAATAGGGTTGGGCTCGATGTTCGAGCCGAGCGTGAGTCCGAATCGAACATTGCTAGTTTGTGTGTCCCCGGACTCCCCTCCTCTCCCCTTTATATTATCCCTTACCCCTGATAATGCCCCCAGACTCCCCTCCTCTCCCCTTTATATTACCCCTTACCCCTGATAATGTCCCCGGACTCCCCTCCTCTCCCCTTTATATTACCCCTTACCCCTGATAATGTCCCCGGACTCCCCTCCTCTCCCCTTTATATTACCCCTTACCCCTGATAATGTCCCCGGACTCCCCTCCTCTCCCCTTTATATTACCCCTTACCCCTGATAATGTCCCCGGACTCCCCTCCTCTCCCCTTTATATTACCCCTTACCCCTGATAATGTCCCCGGACTCCCCTCCTCTCCCCTTTATATTACCCCTTACCCCTGATAATGTCCCCGGACTCCCCTCCTCTCCCCTTTATATTACCCCTTACCCCTGATAATGTCCCCGGACTCCCCTCCTCTCCCCTTTATATTACCCCTTACCCCTGATAATGTCCCCGGACTCCCCTCCTCTCCCCTTTATATTACCCCTTACCCCTGATAATGTCCCCGGACTCCCCTCCTCTCCCCTTTATATTACCCCTTACCCCTGATAATGTCCCCGGACTCCCCTCCTCTCCCCTTTATATTACCCCTTACCCCTGATAATGTCCCCGGACTCCCCTCCTCTCCCCTTTATATTACCCCTTACCCCTGATAATGTCCCCGGACTCCCCTCCTCTCCCCTTTATATTACCCCTTACCCCTGATAATGTCCCCGGACTCCCCTCCTCTCCCCTTTATATTACCCCTTACCCCTGATAATGTCCCCGGACTCCCCTCCTCTCCCCTTTATATTACCCCTTACCCCTGATAATGTCCCCGGACTCCCCTCCTCTCCCCTTTATATTACCCCTTACCCCTGATAATGTCCCCGGACTCCCCTCCTCTCCCCTTTATATTACCCCTTACCCCTGATAATGTCCCCGGACTCCCCTCCTCTCCCCTTTATATTACCCCTTACCCCTGATAATGTCCCCGGACTCCCCTCCTCTCCCCTTTATATTACCCCTTACCCCTGATAATGTCCCCGGACTCCCCTCCTCTCCCCTTTATATTACCCCTTACCCCTGATAATGTCCCCGGACTCCCCTCCTCTCCCCTTTATATTACCCCTTACCCCTGATAATGTCCCCGGACTCCCCTCCTCTCCCCTTTATATTACCCCTTACCCCTGATAATGTCCCCGGACTCCCCTCCTCTCCCCTTTATATTACCCCTTACCCCTGATAATGTCCCCGGACTCCCCTCCTCTCCCCTTTATATTACCCCTTACCCCTGATAATGTCCCCGGACTCCCCTCCTCTCCCCTTTATATTACCCCTTACCCCTGATAATGTCCCCGGACTCCCCTCCTCTCCCCTTTATATTACCCCTTACCCCTGATAATGTCCCCGGACTCCCCTCCTCTCCCCTTTATATTACCCCTTACCCCTGATAATGTCCCCGGACTCCCCTCCTCTCCCCTTTATATTATCCCTTACCCCCGATAATGTCCCCGGACTCCACTCCTCTCCCCTTTATATTATACCTTACCCCTGATAATGTACCCGGACTCCCCTCCTCTCCCCTTTATATTATCCCTTACCCCTAAAAATGTCCCTGGACTCCCCTCCTCTCCCCTTTATATTACCCCTTACCCCTGATAATGTCCCCGGACTCCCCTCCTCTCCCCTTTATATTACCCCTTACCCCTGATAATGTCCCCGGACTCCCCTCCTCTCCCCTTTATATTACCCCTTACCCCTGATAATGTCCCCGGACTCCCCTCCTCTCCCCTTTATATTACCCCTTACCCCTGATAATGTCCCCGGACTCCCCTCCTCTCCCCTTTATATTACCCCTTACCCCTGATAATGTCCCCGGACTCCCCTCCTCTCCCCTTTATATTACCCCTTACCCCTGATAATGTCCCCGGACTCCCCTCCTCTCCCCTTTATATTACCCCTTACCCCTGATAATGTCCCCGGACTCCCCTCCTCTCCCCTTTATATTACCCCTTACCCCTGATAATGTCCCCGGACTCCCCTCCTCTCCCCTTTATATTACCCCTTACCCCTGATAATGTCCCCGGACTCCCCTCCTCTCCCCTTTATATTACCCCTTACCCCTGATAATGTCCCCGGACTCCCCTCCTCTCCCCTTTATATTACCCCTTACCCCTGATAATGTCCCCGGACTCCCCTCCTCTCCCCTTTATATTACCCCTTACCCCTGATAATGTCCCCGGACTCCCCTCCTCTCCCCTTTATATTACCCCTTACCCCTGATAATGTCCCCGGACTCCCCTCCTCTCCCCTTTATATTACCCCTTACCCCTGATAATGTCCCCGGACTCCCCTCCTCTCCCCTTTATATTACCCCTTACCCCTGATAATGTCCCCGGACTCCCCTCCTCTCCCCTTTATATTACCCCTTACCCCTGATAATGTCCCCGGACTCCCCTCCTCTCCCCTTTATATTACCCCTTACCCCTGATAATGTCCCCGGACTCCCCTCCTCTCCCCTTTATATTACCCCTTACCCCTGATAATGTCCCCGGACTCCCCTCCTCTCCCCTTTATATTACCCCTTACCCCTGATAATGTCCCCGGACTCCCCTCCTCTCCCCTTTATATTACCCCTTACCCCTGATAATGTCCCCGGACTCCCCTCCTCTCCCCTTTATATTATCCCTTACCCCTAAAAATGTCCCTGGACTCCCCTCCTCTCCCCTTTATATTATCCCTTACCCCTAAAAATGTCCCTGGACTCCCCTCCTCTCCCCTTTATATTATCTCCCAGGATTTAATACCTATTTCCACATGTTGCTCAGGGAGAAGTTCCGGAATTGTTGCAATGCCTCCTACTCAATGACTGTGACACAGGAGAACTCTCCGCTAGGACATATCATTCATTATGATGCACAAAAACGATCTGCAAATGTCACAGAGACGCTTCACAGCCTCTTCCCAAAGGTGAGTGCGGCAGAGGGATGATTCTGAAATGTTTACATACAGTTTTCATAGCTGCTAGAGTCCATGAGAGAGATTCAACATGAGAGAGAGGGAGAGAGAAAGAAAGAGAGAGAGAGGGGTGGAGAGAGAGAGAGGAGAGAGAGGAGGGGGGAGAGAGAATAGAGAAAGAGGAAAGGAGGTAGAGAGGGAGATGGGGGG